TCAACAAAAGAGCGTAGCCAATAGTATGCTGAAATCATGTTTTGAGTTTTGTGTGTGGGGGTGTCGGAACCTCATAATCTCTACGGGATGGTAGCATGTCTGCGTGTATGCATGTTTTTTTTAAATAGGATCATATAAGGCGCAGTGGTTAAGGGTTGGTCCGGGGTTCTGCGCAAAACAACGGCCAACATATAGTTGAGATAAGATTGGCTTTCTTTCTAAATATCAATTTTTAAAAATTATTATTTTATTTTTTTTATTATTATTATTATTATTATTATTATGGTTATTGTTTTCGGGGTTGTAGTTGGGGTGGGTGTTGTGGTTATTATTTTTAAAATTGTTATTACTTTAGGGGAACAAAGTAATTTTACGGGATTTGGGGGGGGGGGGGGAGTTAAGAGGAAAATGTAAGAAGAGGGGGGAGCGGGAGGGGCAAAAAGTCCAAAAAAGGTATAAGATTATACTTGAACAGCCCCTTCGCTAAATTAATTAATCAGTTTTCATCTAATTTTAAAGGCGCACTTACGAGGGGCATACTAAAAGTTTTTTTTCACCTGACCATGAAGGAATAAAGGATGAAAGCCAACAATCATCTCCCTTAGAATGTCTGTAAATTTTGGGGAATTTCAGATGACTGGTTTTACTACCAGCTCACTGTAAGTGAATTGTGCTATGTAGTTCACCGGTTTCAACATAAAAATGAAAAACAATCGAGCAATAATCAGGGCAATAATAAAGTTTGTTCTTGCAAGGCAAGCAACTACAGGATCTTTTTACGGAGATGCATGCCGTATATGGAACTGCTTGTCCATCCTATGCTTTGGTAAAATTTTGGTGTAAAAAAGTGATGATGAGGTCAAAGAAGCGGTAGAGGGCTGGTTTTCTGACATAGAGAGGGTCCTCTATGCTCAAGGTCTGTTCAAGGTCATACATGGATGGCAAACATGTATAACTCTGGGAGGTGACTATATAAAAAAAAAAAAGACTAAGCATAGTACTAAATTTCAGCTTTCTACATTTATTCCTTCATGGTCAGGTAAAAAAAAAACACTTTAGGTATGCCCCTCGTATTAGGCTACTTGGTTATATTCGTGAGTTCACAAAAGCTATGTAGTCCAATCAAATGATTATCTCTATCTTTCTGTTTAGCCTCCCCACCAGTATTCTGATGTCAGCAGCCAATCACAACGGTGGACTGCACGACATAGGCCCCGCCTATGCTCGCCCGCGTAGTGCGCGAGGCCTGCCCACACAGGCGCGCTCGTTCCGATTGATGCAGAGCACCACCCAGCGCGGCTCGGGGGCGGAGTCAGCACGCATCTTTGGGGCGGGGCATAGGGATGACCTTGAGTTCCCAGACCAGGAGAATATATTAATGAGGTGAGGGAATGTGTCGAGTGATTGAGAATTAATCAGTTGAGAGATTATTATAGTGGCATTTCGTTTGGGTTTTTGTGCGCGCGACTCATCCTGCCTGGGCAACCCTGGCTATCTGCCGCACGAACGTCTTTTATAGTTGAGGGCTGAATCTACATGTACTTAAAGACATTGAGACTAGACCTGGCTTAAAACTAAAACAACTATAGCAGACAGAATAACAAGAGAAAAAGTGTTGTTGTTTTTTAAATAGTGTTTTGTTTAATTTTGGTTGGCAGAAAGATCTTAGAAGTTATGTCCAACCTCGAAGAAGAAGAAGAAAAAGAAGAAGAAGAAGAAGAAGAAGAAGAAGAAGAAGAAGAAGAAGAAGAAGAAGAAGAAGAAGAAGAAGAAGAAGAAGAAGAAGAAGAAGAAGAAGAAGAAGAAGAAGAAGAAGAAGAAGAAGAAGAAGAAGAAGAAGAAGAAGAAGAAGAAGAAGAAGAAGAAGAAGGAGAAGGAGAAGAAGAAGAGAAGAAAAGAAGAAGAAGAAGAAGAAGAAGAAGAAGAAGAGAGAGAGAGAGAAGAAGAAGAAGAAGAAGAAGAAGAAGAAGAAGAAGAAGAAGAAGAAGAAGAAGAAGAAGAAAAAGAAGAAGAAGAAGAAGAAGAAGAAGAAGAAGAAGAAGAAGAAGAAGAAGAA